TGTCCAAAGGAGGGCAATTAAAATGGTGAAGGGTCTGGAAACCATGCCATATGTGGAACAACTTAGGGAGCTGGGGATGGTTAGCCTGGAGAAGAAAAGGTTGAGAGGTGATATGATAGCCGTGTTTAAATATTTGAAGGGATGTCATATTGAGGAGGGAACAAGCTTGTTTTTTGCTGCTCCAAAGACTAGGACTTGAAACAATGGATGTAAACTCCAGGAAAAGAGATTCCACCTCAACATTAGGAGGAACTTCCTGACAGTAAGGGCAATTCGTCAGTGGAACACACTCCCTCGGAGAGTAGTGGAGTCTCCTTCCTTGGAGATCTTTAAGCAGAGGCTGGATGGCCATCTGTTGGGGATGCTTTGATTGGGAGTTCCTGCATGGCAGGGGGTTGGACTGGATGGCCCTTGTGAGGCCCTCTTCCTTACCCCCAGGTATACACTGCATTTATTAGAGCAGTGCCATAGTAGAGTATAAAAGTAGAAGGACCTAGTATTAATTCATAAAAGCTTTTTATGAAATCCTCAAGTGACTAGGGAAAAATGGTACATATTATGAAAGACTAGGGTTACCATGCCAGGAGTATTTAGGCCCTGGGACTCAGGGCTGTTGCATCTGGTGATGTCCTTAAATGTGAGATGCCAAGTATCAACCAGTGTGGAATACAGTATGCCTTTCAAACAAGAAACACTATCTGGGATTCTAGATCTCAGTATACTTAACTAAGAGCTGAAACAGACTGTCTGGAAGGTATGGTGTCAAGCCTCCCTAACTGATGCAGGATTCGGGCCATAGCAGTAGCACACCATGGCCTCACTCTACCATTTTGCCAGTGCAAAAAGAAGTGGCAGAAAGCTAGTCTTGCTCTAAAAGGCAGGAGATCAGGCATCTATCACTCTTGGTGGCTGATGCCCAGTGAATCAGGACTGGGGGGATTTTGCAAACCATATGTATTCCTACACTATTGAATGCATACAGATCATGAACAAGAATCAGTTACAAATGTGTAACTCTAGATTATACATTCAAAACTGTGATTGTGAATTCCAGCATCCAAGTCTAATAAATGAAGAAAATATAAATGCACATACTTTTCAAGGCAGCACTTTCACCCTGAGATTACTCACTCTCATGGAGGACCAAAGAAGGGCTAGGTTCTGCGACCAAGAGCATTTAGGAAAGAGATATGCCAAAGAAGAAATCTGTAATGCTTGCAAAGTTTGAGATTCACTCATTTTAGCTAGCCTTTATCCAAATTGCTTTTAGCCAGTACAAGGATCCTATTTTTAGGACAGAAAAGCAGGAGATAAATATTTTAATGCCTGAATTTAATCCACAGAGGGATTGCACCTAACAAAATCAAAGCATGCTGAAGTGGACAGTGCTTTTGGCTAGGTGAAACACAGTCTCCAGCAGCAATAACTTGTGTGTGACAGTGCCAGCCTGTTATATGAAATCACTTGAAGACAGACATTAGGATGCAGTTGAGGAATAATGAATCCCCCTAATCAGACATCAGCTCTCATTTTGAATACAAGCATGAGATTTGAATTTAATAGAATGGACAGGGACAGAGTGACTTGGTTGAGTCTCTGCAGCCTAACCTCAAAGGACACATTGGCTTGTCTGTCTGTTTCAGAAATTGAAATAAAACAAAATTCAACACTAGTTCAGCGTGCATCCAAATGAGACTCAAACTGCCAGAATTTGCAACATCAAATCTGAAATCTCCTGTGTGAGTTCCCATTTATTCTGATTATAGTACGATAAAGGAGGAAAAATCCTTTAGGATTGGAACAGATGTTGCCATCAACATCTCTCCCTCAAAAAAAAAAAAAAAAAAAAAAAAAAAAAGGAAAGGAAAAGGAAAAGGAAAAGGAAAAGGAAAAGGAAAAGGAAAAAAAAATCTCCTCTATACCCCTGCTAAATGTCTAACCTTTATTCCCCAATTTCACAAAGATGGGGAAAAACATTTTTGTAAGACTTACCAAACATGTTGGGAATATAACTGTTACCTGTAGAGAAAGGTGGAGGCCATCAACTGTGAAAGAAATGTCAATTTTGAAGGCAAATGATTAGGAAAGCATTTACATGTATAGTGCATAGATAATCTGGACTAGGAAAATATACTTGTCTGATATGGTCATAATATGTACTAGGGTTAGTTTCTTCTAACTGTAACTAAAAATTATTTTAATTATTATGATTTTTTATTTTAACTGGTATTTGGTTTTAACTAAGTTGATGTTTAATACTGTTTTAAGGGGGGGAGGGATATGTTTTTATTGCAATTGTTTTATGTTGTACACTGCCCGGATTGGGCAACCATTGGGCGGTATATACATAAATTTTATTATTATTATATTATTATTATTATTATTAAAAGCACACAGAGGTGAATTTGGATTGGGAAAGCAGTTCAAGGGGGGGGCAAAAAGAGGACAAATATAATGTATGTCCAACCAAATGAAATTTTCCTTCAGTCTTCAAATTTTTAGCATTAGAGGAAGTCAGCTACTGAAAATCATTCATATCTAGAATTCTATATAATATTCGCGGTGTTAGCATTCCTTTAGTAAATTGATTCATCTCTTTTCTTTGGATGCTCAAACTTTATTTCTAAATAGTCAACTGAAGTTTTGAATAAACTGCAATCCTAGAAAGTCAGGAACAGAAGGGAAATTTCATTGGGTGGCAGGGATTTCATTTGGGGACCAAGACCTCATTTTGTCCCAATCCAAAATCATCTATAGCTGATTTTCACCCACAGTTAGAAGATACTAACCCCAAAATTCTTATGTGGGAGGGAATGCTCTCATCCCCTCCCTGTAGTTAGACCCCTGAAGCACCATCCAAGATAATATCATTTAATCCTTTCCCTGACACTGTTTAACAACTTATATCTCCCTTTCCTGAACTTGCTATTCATTATATAGGTGGAAGTAAAAATGAGATGACAACGTTTTTGTGTATTCCTTTTTTACACTCCTTCCTTATATCTTATTCATTCTGTGCAGTATATTTCAAATTTGTAACCAGCAAGTGAGCGGAAAACCTCAACTGTTAGTTATGAAATGCTAAGCCTGAGGGTAGCAACTGTTTTGTTTTTACTGGTTTGAAAGCTATTATGGGAATTTTTCCAACTGGAAAAAATAGGGTATAGAAACTAAGCACACAGCTTATGGCAGTGGTGTGTTAAAGAGGAGTGTGGTACTTATATTTTTCTACTCCACTGGCAACCACTTCCAAACAGGCAAGGTTGTAATTGTTGCCCCGAACAAAACAACAAGGATATGG